TGGTCGAAGGCGCGCTGCGCGAACACCACCCCGCTCTGCGCGCTCACAGACACGTAGGATAAAAGTTCCTGTGGCTCCAGGTCGCTCGCTACAATAGAGTAGGAAACTTGGCCATTGGGGCCCAAGTCAGGGTCGGAGGCACTGATTTGAACGACGGAGGCGCCAGGAGGATTGTTCTCTGCCACGTGAATCATGTAGGAATTCTGCTGGAAAATAGGTGCATTATCGTTGATGTCGGAGATGTGCAGGGTGACAATTATGCTGGAGGAGAGGGGCGGCTTGCCCCCGTCGGTAGCTGTGATGGTGAGATTGTATTCCGGGGTCTCCTCCCGGTCCAGGGCGCCATCTGTCACTAGCTTGTAATAGTTCTTTGAGGAAGATTTCAAAATAAACTTGGCATTTTCCAACACTTGGCAGTAAACTTCTCCATTTTCTCCAGAGTCTCTGTCTCTCGTTTTTATCAAGGCGATGATTGTTCCTGGTGGCGAATCTTCTGGTAGGGGAGTAAATACTGAAGTCACAGTAACTTCAGGTGCACAATCGTTCTCATCAAGAATTTCAACTTGGATAATGCAGTGGGCTGCTAGATCTCCAGGATCTTTTGCTTCGATACTCAAAGTGTAACTATTTGCAGTCTCAAAATCCAAATCACCCTTTGTCTTGATTTCTCCTGTTTTTTCATTTAAGTTAAAAAAGTGTTTCACTTGTTCGTCCACATTGTGAAAGGAGTAGGTGATCTCAGCATTTATGCCTTCATCCTCGTCAGTGGCCGTCACTTGAAGCACAAAGAAACCTGGGGGCACGTCCTCCCTCAGGGTGACCCTGTAAACATCCTGGCTGAACACCGGAGGGTTATCGTTGGCATCTGTGACTTGGATTAGGATTTGGGTCCTGCCACTTTGAGGTGGGTCTCCGCCATCCAAAGCTGTGAGGACCAGTTGATGGAAAATGTGCTCTTCTCTGTCCAGAGAATGTTTTAGAATTAACTCAGGATATTTACGTCCATCTGGAGTCTGTTTCTCAGCGAGATCAAAGTACTCGTCGTCATTAAGGTGGTATCTTTGTAGTGAATTAGGACCAACATCTGAATCCAGGGCTGGGTCAAGTGGAAATGTTGTACCTGGCTTAGTGGATTCGACAATTTTTAAATCAATCTTACTCTGTTTGAATAGCGGGGTATTATCATTTATATCCTGCACAATTACTGCTATGTGGAAAATATTTAGTGGGTTTTCAGCGACAGTGTCGAAATCCAGAATGCACAGAGGCTGCTTCCCACATATCTGCTCTCGGTCTATTCTATCACCCACAAGTAAGTCCCCGCTGTCTGGGTTTACTGTGAAATATTCTTTCTCCGCGCTAATCCGCAGCTTTCGGGCCGGCAAGTCCCGGACGCTGAGGCCCAGATCCTTGGCGACATTTCCTACGACCGAGTTTTTGGCCAGCTCCTCTGGAATTGAATAGCGGATCTGGTCTGGGAGAGCTCCGGGAAACAAAGACAACAGGAAGGGCAACAGTACCTGCGGCCACTGCACCAGCCTGCGCCTCCCTGCGCTCGCCTTCATCCTCTGTCTCCCTCGGGCTCCCTTTGCTCCTTTGCCCGTAGGAGAAATAAGCCTTACGTGGACGGCAGAATCCCGGCTAAGCCTTCCGTAGATGGCAGAATCCGGGCTAAGGTTACTTTTCCTGCTTTTGTTTTCTGTTTCCAAATCTATACTGGCTTCCTCTGTGTGGTTGGTTTGTGCAGGAAGCTCCCCTCTGAGACTCCCAAACGCTTCTGTGCTATCTTCTCTTCGTTCTTTTGACCGACAGCGACGCTCAAAGGTTTCCTCAAGAAACTGCACCAATGACTTGTAAATGTTTGCTAAGAACTTTTTTTTCTTTTTTTTTTAATTTATAAAGTCTTTATGTGTTTTTAAATAGGTGAAAAATTCATATAGTTCCAGATTCAAAAGGTGCATTCAGCATAGGTTTTTCACTGCTTTTATCCCGGCTTTTGATGAGGAGAAATGCTTTCACAGGGGAAAGGAGTGTTAATGTTTCTTGGGTATCCTTCCACAGACATGTTTTGTATAGTGCAACAGATTTTTATAAATGTTCTGTCTCCCTTTCTTTTGACTATTAGAAAAGTTTATTTAACAAAAAGACTAATATGAAAATGTACATGACTTAATTTTTACATCATAGTAAAACAGGCCCTATGGAGAGAGGACATGGGTTTCTCCGCTGAACAGTCATTATTTATACTCGTTCCAAGGCTTCTAACATGATGACACTCTTTCCTCATATTACCATCATTCCTATATTGTTCTGTTGTCCGCTAGTCGCCATCTCCACACGTTCATCTATCACAAGATTCATAAAGGGATCAAATCCCCGCAATATTCCTTGGACATGTCTGCCACCATTTAATTTCAATGATAACATCTTGTCCATAAATTTTTTCAACTCGGGAGGGTGAGCTTTGCTCATGATGGCTACCCTGTGGGCACACAGAGCTCTGTCTCCCTTTTTTACGCTAAGGTAAGCATACAACATACCATGTTCTGCACATTGCTTCTTTATTTGTTATATCTTAAAGATTATATCAGTACACAGAGAGCTTTTCCTAGGCTACTAGATAACTATATTATGAACTCCATAATATGAATATACAACAATTTGTTTAATCAAAATTGTTATTTGCTAAAAGAAACCCACTGCCCATTCTAACAAAAACACATTTTTTAAAAAATTCAATTTTAGGTTATAAATTATCTGCTGCTTTCCTAGACCTTTAAAATATGGGCCACTCTCATTCTGGAACACATTCCTAATGCCATGTGAATATGCTTACCACAGTTTGAGGCCAATTGAGCATTTCCAAATTACATTTTATGGCTTAATTACTTTAAACAATCTCTCCTCAGATGTGAGTTGTCTCTCAACATTCACTTGTTATTTCTACTTCCTGCTCCCCAAGCCAGGTAACTGCATCATATCATATTCCAGTTTACTCTATGTATTGCACCAGAACTTTCTATGCATACAAAACCATGTAGAAACTAAAACTCTCCTTTGTAAGTCAAACTGAGGCATATTCCACAGTCTATCGCTACAACTTTCAGTTATCAAATTACACTAATTTGTATAAGTATACACACTCATGAATTTTGAATTAACTCACAGAACTAAATGAAAGCACAAAGAGCAAAAGAGTTGCATATCCCTTAAACACAAAATATTTTCCCCAATATGAAAGAATCCCACAGCCACACGGTGAAATATCTGAAAGTAATTTGTAGGAATAGGGATGAGGCCAACTTACTAAGCAGCACAAATCATGTCAGCCCAGAATCCAAGTTACTCAACCTTCACCAGAGGTTCACATGATGAAAAGAGAAAAGTCTCCATAAACTTATGTTTTCTTTCAAAATCAAGAAAGTCTCAATAGTGACATCATGATAGACAATTTAAAAATTATTAAAGTTACTCCTACAATATACTTAAATTTGAGTGAAATTAACTGGGAAAAATTTCTGATAATCACAGAAGTGCACCAAAGGAATCACCCATAGTCACTGCTAGTGCATCTCAGAATAGCAACAACAAAATGTTTGAAATATACTAGTCCATTGAGAACATATTCTGTTAAAGTTATATCTAAAAGTTAAACTCATAAATTGCCAGCATTTTTAAATTGACATTTTCTAATTATAATGCAAAATACCCTTTCAAGGAAGAAAAAGTAAACTTCAAGCAAAGCATGTACGGTGTAAAAACAGAAAATTAAAAAACCCTCAGTCCAGAGCCAACAATAGCTTCATGAGAAGGAATAATGTAAATGTGAATTTACATAATCACCTTCTATTTCACAGGTCTCTTGTATCTTTTCAGTAACACCTAAGGGAAAGGACATGTATTTATTTATTTATTTATATTTCTAATTTTATTTTACTTTTTTGGAGGCAGAGGCTTGTTCTGTTGCCCAGGCTGGAGTACAGTGGTGTCATCTCAGCTCATTGCAACCTCCGCCTCCCAGGTTCAAACAATTCTCATGCTCAGCCTCTTGGGTAGCTGGGACTACAGGCACACACCGCCATGCCTGGCCAATTTTTTGTGTTTTAGTAGAGACTGGGTTTCACCATGTTGCCCAGACTGGTCTCGAACTCCTGAGCTCAGGCAATCCACCCTCCTCAGACTCCCAAAGTGCTAGGATTACAAGTGTGAGCCACCAGGCCCAGCTGGGAAAAGGAAATTTAAGGAAATGAGGTGGCTTAGAGTTGTAAAATTAGAAAATTCTGGTTGAAACTACAACTGAATGAAAACCAAAAAGGATAACTAATAAACAACATTTTTTGTGTAGTAAATACTATTGGTTATTATTGAAAGGTCATCCACCACTCCTCTTTAAAGCAATAAAATATTAAAAGAGGTGGCTTTATTTGATATATTACATATATAATTGCAGACATTTACACAACTCTGTGTCTATAGTTCAGCATGGTATGATCTATTATAAGATTGACTCACCTGAAGATTAGGGTCTCCTTTTGTTTCAGGTAAATCCTGAGTTATCAGAAGAGGCTCGCTTTTCTCACAGCTCTCCTGGCTGATGAGCATGTCTGCATAGTTGGGCTGGGGGAAGATCAGGTGACTTTTCCTGGAGTCCGAGGTGAGGGAGACCTCGTGGGAATAGGTTTGCAGGAAAGCCTGAACCCCGTCCATGCCTACAAAGTGGGAGGTGGGCACACCCGCCCACCTGCTGCCTTCAGACTGAAGCAGGCGTGACTTGTGCCAGCGTCTCAGCTTGAGTGCTAGAAGCACGGTGACAAAAGCCAGGAAGATGCAGGAGACAGCGGCTACTGCCACCACGAGATAGAGAGTGAGGCCCGAGTCGTCTGGGTCTGCTGAAGGCTTGAGGCTGCCCAAGTCAGCCAGGACATCTGGGATGCTGTCGGCCACAGCCACAGTGACTGTGACAGTGGCTGATAGAGGGGGCTGGCCATGGTCCTGGACGACTACTACCAGGATCTGCTTAAGCGCGTCTCTGTCCAGCAGGGCCCGCGCCGTGCGCACCTCGCCTGTGTGCAGCCCCACTGCAAACAGTCCCGGCTCGCTGGCCTTGAGCAGGCGGTAGGACAGCCAGGCATTCTGGCCTGAGTCTCTGTCCACTGCCACCACTTTGGTCACCAGGTAGCCAGATTCTGCGGAGCGGGGTGCCAGCTCCACTCCAGTGGAGCCGTCTGTGGGGAAGGTGGGGTACAGGATCTCAGGGACATTGTCATTCTGGTCTAGCACAAAGAGGCTCAGTGACACGTTGCTGCTGAGTGGAGGGTCTCCACTGTCACTGGCTGTCACCAGTAGCTGCAGGTCTCTAAACTGCTCATAATCGAAGGAGCGAAGTGCATACAGGATCCCAGTGTTGGAGTTGATGGAGACATAGGAGGACAGGGGTGCACCCTGGAAGGTGTCTTCGGCCAGGGAGTAAGTGATTCGGGCATTGTCACCGCTGTCGGGGTCTTGAGCAGTCATAGATAAGATGGAGGCTCCTCTGGGGTTGTTTTCAGAAATGTAGGCAGAATAGGAAGCATGAGGGAAAGTAGGTGGGTTGTCATTGATGTCCGTCACCTGCAGTGAAATATGAGTTTCTGTAGACAGTGGAGGAGTTCCATGGTCAGTGGCAGTTACAGTGATGTTATATTCTGAGACTTCTTCCCTGTCCAGTGTTGTGTGTGTCAACAACCGATAATAATTTCCATAGGTCTTTTCAAGTGTGAATGGTAGATTATCTGGAATAGAACATGTGACAAGGCCATTCCCTCCTGAGTCACTGTCATGCACATTGAAAAGTGCAATTACTGTACCTGGGGAAGAAGTTTCCTGGACTGAGCTGGTGAGAGATGTAACTGTGACTTCTGGAGCATTGTCATTTACATCCAGAACGGTCACGAGTACCTTGCTTCTGGCTCGGAGACCAGGCCCATCATGGGCTTCCACATCTATGTCATAGAATCCAGAGTCCTCATAATCTAGATCCCCCAATATTGTTATATCCCCACTCAGAGAATTCAACTTGAATAGCTGGGATATTTTGTCTCTTACTTTCCGGAAAGAATATGTCACATCTCCATTGGCTCCTTCATCTGGATCAGTGGCTTTTACAATGAGTAGCCTGGTGCCTACAGGAACGTTCTCACGAACACTTACGTGGTACTCGGGCTGAGTGAATACGGGAGCATTATCGTTGATATCCACAACTATTATGAGAATCCTGGCAGTGCCAGAGTGAACCGGGTCACCTCCATCGAAGGCGGTGAGAACGAGGTGGTGAATCGCCTCTTCCTCGCGATCTAGAGCGCGTTCCAGCACCAGCTCTGGGTACTTAATCCCATCGGCCCCGCTTTGCACATCCAGGGAAAAGTGACCGTTTGCGTTGAGCTGGTAATCCTGCAGGGAGTTTACTCCTACATCCGGATCAAAAGCTTCAGGAAGAGGAAATCTTGTCCCAGGATTTTCATTTTCAGCAACTTTTATTTCCCTCTGTTCTGTCCCAAAACTGGGTGGGTTATCATTAATATCGATTATTTCTACCTCTACCCGCAAAATCTTTACTTTATCTTCTAGGAGAATCTCCAGGTTTGTCACACAGTTTGGAGATCTGTCGCAGAGCTCCTCCCGGTCTATCCTGCCCGCGGTGACCAAGCTGCCACTGCGCGGGTTCAGGGCGAAAAGCTGCGTCCTACCTCTGGAGACGATGCGGACTCCGCGCTCAGCAAGCTCCCGGGGCGCCAGCCCTAGGTCCTTGGCGATGTTGCCCACCGCTGAGCCTTCTTCCTGCTCCTCAAACACCGAGTAGCGGATCTGTTCGGCCCTGATTTCTCCCACAACCCCCAGGAGAAGGCAGATCTGGAGCAGCCGGGTGCGGTCTGGACGAGTAGGAGACGCCGCCATTACAACCCAGCCGCGGAGTCGCCTGTGCTTCGGTTTTCCCTCTTTGGAGGCCTGAGGAGCCCCAGGAGCTTCTGGGTCCAAAACAAAGTGTATTCACAGCCGGAGATCTCAGGGCTTCAGCTTGAAGCTTCATAAAGCTCCAGAGCCAGTGCTTTGTGCTGCAGAAATCTTGTGATTCTGATTAAATTTCTGGTTTGTCTTTTCCCCCTGATTGGTGAACAGCGACACCCAGAGTCTTAACCTGTTCTGCAATTTATTCTTAGTGAATAAAGTATATTTATTATACTTTTTTATTCCTATTTCTCCCAAGATAATAAAAGTCAAATTCCTGTTTTTGATTTGAAATGACAATTCAAGGATAATCCAAATTTTCCTGTACAATAAACTTTATAAAGTTATTTATTTTCTTAGAGAAAATATGACTTTTTTCTTTTTTTCCTTTTTTGGCTAAGAATGTGCTCTCCGTCTTTTCAGTTTTCACATTATTAATCCCCACAGCCCATTCTCAGTACAGAGCATTGTGTGAGGGACACATTTATTCCTCCTAAAGACAAAGGTGGACTTGAAAAATGGAGGAGAGAGATAGGTGAAAAGACAGTGGGACAGGAGCTTGGAGGTCTGGTTTTAGTCCCAGTTTATGCAGTAACAAGTTTCCTCTCATGAGTTGACCCTCTAGAACCTGGGGCAATGCTTCAATTCCCTTGCAATAAACCCACCTACTGTTCAAGAGTTAGCCTTACCCCTGTACAAATGAGATTGGCAAATATGATAATAGGTTTGGGAAGAGAATTTGCTCATTGATTTAGTATATAGTAGATTTTTAGTCATAAGCTACGCATATGACTATCTTGTTCACAATGTGTCCTCAATCTTTAGAACTATACTTCTTATAGAGTAGTACGTTCCATGAAACCTTTTGTTCCATGAAACCTTTCAATGTTTTAGGAATGACCAGTTCAAATGCAAAGCCTAAAACAATGGGTTAATAATTCTGCTCTTAAAAATAAAAAAAGAAATAAAAAGAAAAGTTAGACTGAAGAGCTATAAAGTGCAGATCATAGTTCAGTAATTTTTTCACATGACACATTCAGCATTACTTTACTATAATTCCTAACTTTAACTTAGCTCTCATCTTAGAAATAATCAGTAAAAGGAAATGTTTAGGTAGCTGAACGTGGATTTTCATTACATGCGCCATCACTTTCTTGCTTATGAATATTTAGAGTAATTTACTAATTTGAGAAAATTTGAGATAAAGCAGTACACCAGTTCTTAAGCTTATTAACAATAGCAGTAGAAACGACTTATGCAAATGTGCATTACCTATACAGAATTTAAAAACCCTCAGACTTCGAGTAGATTAAAGGTGTTTTTCACAATCTCAAAGACCTCATAAACTGCAGATGACTAAGAGGTGAAATAAGATTTTTGGAAATAAATCTGACAGTATGCATTAAAAACTCTCAAAATGTTTATAGATTTAACTAATTTCTCAGAAATCTATACCAAAGAAACAAGAAGTATGGAAAATGCTTTATAAACCCAAGTGTATAAATTGGGTTTATTCATTACATTGGGTCATTACATTCCTTGTTTCAATAGAGACAAAATAGAAAGAGCATAAAAATAAATAATTAAGCAATGGTTAAGAAAATTATGGCTGGGCACGGTGGCTCAAGCCTGTAATCCCAACACTTTGGGAGGCCGAGGCGGGTGGATCACGAGGTCAAGAGATCGAGACCGTCCTGGTCAACATGGTGAAACCCCGTCTCTATTAAAAATACAAAACATTAGCTGGGCATGGTGGCTTGTGCCTGTAATACCAGCTACTCAGGAGGTTGAGGCAGGAGAATTGCCTGAACCCAGGAGGCAGAGGTTGCGGTGTGCCGAGATCGCACCATTGCACTCCAGCCTGGGTAACATGAGCGAAACTCCATCTCAAAAAAAAAAAAATTATGAAATATCATTGATTGAAATTATGGAGTGGGAATAATACCGACCCAAAGTTAGTGATACAAATGTAAAATTGGACAATATCTGCTACTCGTGATGAGACAATCATTAACAGTCTTAATGATTGGAAGGCTGTGTTCAATATACATGTTTCTGCAAAAAGATAAATTAGAATGTAATTGATGAAGATGAACATAAATTTTAACTTGGGTGGGAAGAACTATAAATACATTTATAAGTAGCTAAGAATAAGATGACTTGAAAATATAGTATCACATAGGAACTAAGAAAAGGCACTGCTATTACTAAAGGTGTTAACATCTACGAAACAGGTCCCTTTAGCAATATTTGCCAACCATACAGAAATGTCAACAGTGAAGACTGAAAATTAAATTGCCAAGAATACTGAACAATCAAGAAAGCAATCTCCACCTATCTAATACACCCCTCTGCCACTAGATACCATCATCAGAACAATGAAAGACAACCAAAATTACCTGTGCACCAGTGAGACGAAAACGCAATATATAATTTTTTTTGAGACACGGTTTCACTCCCATTGCCCAGACTGGAATGCAGTGGCATGCTCTTATCTCACTACAACCTCCACCTCCCAGCCTCAAGCGATCCTCCTGTCTCAGCATTTTGAGTAACTGGGACTACAGGCACGTGCCACCACACCCAGCTAGTTTTTGTTTTTTTAGTAGAGAGGGGGTTTCACCATGTTGGCTCTGCTAATCTCAAACTCCCTACCTCAAGTGATTCACCTGCCTCGGCCTGGTTAAGTACTGGGATTAAAGGCTGGAACCATTACGCCCGACTGCAGTATATAAAATTTAAATAGATATGCAAAAACTCACGTGAGAAGAAAAAGAAGGGTCACAAGCGATTTTGTGATCTTCATTACTGGCACATACAACCATAGAAGGATCATCACACAGCAGATCCTGAGGGGGAGCCATTTCCGGTGTCAGGTTGAGAAAATTAAACTCTGTCTTTGCAGAATGAGAGGCAACACATAGATTGTAGGAATAAGGCAAAGTTCCCTCGCTGTGGTTGGGAGGAACCCGACGCCCAGACTTGGAGCACAGACCCGTTTGAAACCAGCCCTCAGTGTCGAGGCT